GATTCGGTATGTTGACGACACTTTCGCACTTTTTGACTGTTATAAAGAGGATTTATCCAAGATTCTATCTATTATGAATTCAATTGATCCAGCCATCCAATTCACTCTTGAAATTGAATCCAACAATTCCCTCCCTTTCCTTGATATTCTTATAATCCGCAATGAAACTGATTTTAGCTGTGTACCGTAAACCCTTTGCAGTTTGTTTACCACCCCATGCCAAGTCATGCCACCCTATTAAGCAAAAAATGGCTTCTTCTTACTATTATGTATTCCGCATGCTTAAAGTTTGTTCCTCTGAATCTTTGCTTACCAATGAACTTAATTATTTGAGAGCAGTTGCGATTGACCATGGATTTTCTCCTGTGATTATTGATAAAGCCGTTAAAAAATTTTCAGATTCCCATCAAAGAAGACATTCCACTGTTAGAAATATATAATGACCTTGTCGTGTTTCCATTTTATCCTTCTGTTAGCTATAAAATTGCACGGATTCTCCAGAAATTCAATTTTCAAGTCGGTTTCTCTCCCTATTAATAAAATTCACCCTTCGATTCTAAAAGATTGTTTCTGTCTTGAATTCTTGGGGGAATTTATAGTATATCGTGTCAGTGTGGTTTAAGATATATTGGCCCAAACAAAAAGAGTGTTGCAGTTTCGTATCAAGGAACATGAATCTTATGTCAGAAAAGGCGAAATTATCAAGTCTTCAATAGCGTATCATAGTTGGACATTTAACCATAATTTTGACTTTGGGTCTGTAAAAATTATCCAAAAGGCTTCTTCCATAGGTGAACTGGATTTTCTTGAGGCTTTTCACATTCACAAAGATTTAGCAGGTTTAGTTAATGATTTGAAATCCAATCCAGTCGTTCCTAATGCCTTTAAAATTTTACTATCTTAATTCAGTTATTTTTCCTGATAGATGGCGTTACCTCCTCGCGTTTGGTTATACCAGAGGGTACAAAAATCTGTTCAGTAGTTGCTTTCCATTATTTGAAGTTCAGATTTTGAGCGTGAAGGTGCATTTGCCCCTCGCTCCCTATTTTAACTTCGCTAATTTTTCTTGTCCTTTATGCTTGATCAGATAGCCTGGCTCAGTAAAAGTAGGCGGCCAGTGCAACTCTTATTAAAAATCCAGTTATAACCACGTGCAGTGCTGATAAGGACCACGTGTTTCTGAGACTCCTTCTCCTTTATTTTCTTCTTTCTAGGTATTTCTTTCTCCTGATGAGGGAGGGACCTTTAGCTGCCCTCGAAATCGATTGTTTCATTATACTTACGCTAAATACAAGGTTGTTTTTACGATTTTGATAGATGCTTTATGCCCAGAAGAGTTATTTAAAATCCAGCTTTCTTAAGTTAAGAACTAAATTGCTTCTTTACAAAAGTCTTATAAGATCTGTCTTGTCTTATGCATCAGAGACTTGGGCATTGACTTTATGTGATGAGGAAGCTATGAGAAATTTTGATTGAAAGATCTTGCATTGCATTCTTGGTGGGATCCAAACAGACAGATCATGGAGAAGAAGATCTAATTTAAAACTCTATAAAATTTACAAACAACCTGATATTGTAAAATTTTTCAAATTACAGAGACTTAAATAGGCTGGTCATTTGGCTAGAATGAATGATGATCGTTGCTGAAAGAAAATCTGGCAAAGCCCATGGAAAATAGACCTCAGGGCAGACGGATCGACTGCGTCGAAAAAGGTCTTAATATTTTAAAGGTTAAAAATTGGAAACCAGTTACCAAGAGTAGAGATGCCTGGAAGAAGACTTCTGGAGAAGGCCAGAGCCGCCAAGCCATTGAAGATCGGATTAGAAATCCATTTGGTTCAAATTCTAACTGAAGAACTCAAAAATACCACACTTGTTAACTTTCGGCTGAACCGAAAAAAAGAACTTAAATGCATTTCAAATAAAGCTATTAAATTTGTATTGCCTTTTTGCCCAACCTATTTGTGAGAACAAGGATTTCCTTCCATGTTAAATTAGAAAAATAAATACACGACAAAATTAAACATGGATCCTAATTTACAATTAAATCTAAGAGAAATAAGACCAGACACAAAGAAACTGATCTCTCTTAAATAGGCCTAGGTTTCACAGTAAATTTTAGGATTAAAGTATTATAGCTTAAATTTTGATAATTAAAGTGGTAACCAATTTTTGATTTAATACTCTTTTGTGTATGCATATTTAATACAAATAGCCCATAGGTTGCGCAAATGGCAAAATAAACTCTCAGAAAAAAAAAAAAAAAAAAAAAGATGCACCAAGATATAAAGCAAATTGGACACAAATTGATATGCATACAGGTTTCGATGGTAAATGCAAAATTTTACATTTTGGCTGCCAATGAATGAACGGTTGTCGTAACAGCGCATCTGATCTGCGCAACTGGCAGTATATTTAAGAGAAGAAATTACGATTCCAGGTCATAAATTCTTCACGAATTTCATTCCATGTACTCTGGTAGACAGTAACTATGCCTCACATACAGGTGTGCGAACAATATGCTCAGATGTCAGAATTTGACAGACGTCATGTAGTTGGGCTCAAAGAAGCCGGTTGGTCTTATCGGCAAATAGCTCGACATTTGAGCAGAAGCGACGCCACTATTAGACGATGTTGGCAGGAATGGGGAAAACATGGCTGCACACAGCATCAAGAAGGAAGCGGTAGGCCTAGAGATATGACAGAATGTGAAGACCCAGCAATCGTCAGAGCGGCACTGACAGCCCCAGATGCATCATTATCATTGATTGTACGTGCAACTAATGCTTCAGTGACTGCAAGGACCATTCATAGACACCTCACAGAAAGGGGGCTGAGTTCACAACGCCCCTTGCACCGACTACCATTGACCTCTTTACAACATCAAGCCCATTTGCAGTGGTGTCGGGCTCATTCGCACTGGAATGTCAGTAACTGGAGTAGAATAGTCTTCAGTGATGAGTCTCGCTTTGAACTGAGCCCCGATACCAGCGAAGGCAAGTCTGGAGACGCCCCAGACAGCTGTGTGATACCAACCTGATTGTCTTCCGGCAGACAACCAGGCGTTATGGTCTGGGGTGCCATTTCATTTCATAGTAGGACCCCTTTGGTTGTCATCCGTCACAACCTTACAGCACAGTGGTACGTCGACGAAGTTCTAAGTTCTAAGGCCCATTCTGTTGCCCTTCATGTCCTGCCTCACTGTGCTTACACCAAGATAATGCCTGCCCCCACATTGCACATGTTTCTACTGCTTGACGAACATTACCTTGGCCAGCAAGGTGGCCGGATATCTCTCCTACTGAGCATGTTTGAAGCATTATGGGCAGGGCCCTCCAACCAGCTCAGGATGTTGATGATCTAACACACCAGTTGGACAGAATTTGGCACGATATCCCTCAGGAGGACATCCGCAATCTCTATCAATCGATGCCAAGCCGAATAACTGCTTGCATAAGGGCCAGAGGTGGACAAATGCATTACTGACTTTTTCACTTTGTGAAGCTCTATCACTTCAATAAATCATCCAATTTTTCTCAAACTGTAATCATTTGTTTTTCTGTAAATGTGCATCACTTCTGCCGATTTTCGTCCCATTCGGATAATTCCTTCTTGGTGCATTTTTTTTTTTTTTTTTGGTTTAAGCATATATATTTTTAATATTTCTATTGAGATATTGAAAAATAATCATTGTAAAATGTAGTGGTGGTACTAAAGTTTTTCAATTTTTGCTTAGATGGTATGTGTTAGTCAAAAGGTTGAGAATCGCTGGTATAGACCATGGTCCCACCTCACTGAAACTTCACAAAGAGGATTTCATCCTCAGGTAATTGTGCAATAAATTTTTGGAAGATGTCACTAAAAAATGCACTCACCATCTGGTCAAAAAAGACCTTGTGATATGACATCTGCTGACTGTCACCCACATTCCAACCTTCTGCATATGAAAGGGTGCTTCAAGCAAGGTTCTGAGATTTCAGCTAACCACAAATACTAGTTTTAGAAAATGACATATTCTGACAGCTGAAACCAAGCACTGTCAGCTAAAAAAGTCACTGACATCTCAAAGGAAATGCTTGATTTAGTTCAAATCAAATAAGAGCTTTCCATGACAGGTCACTCTGAGTTACTGCATTACAATAATCTTATATATGAACAGGAACAATCACAATGCCCTTTCGACTTGCAGTTGTAATATCAATGTGTTAATGTTGTGTAAGTTTCTTAATAGACTTAGATCACAACTGAAGCAAGGAATCTGAAATATCCAATAGCTTTCCATCATCCAGTTTTGTTAGCTGGACTTCTATCCCAGCCCAGTTCTGGAAATTTTGGTGACCAGGTTTTACATAGTATCACCATACTGTGCTGTCACTTGCAGAAACTGCATCATGAATGTGCCAACACCTCCTTCATGTATTGGTCGCCATGCCAAAACAGCATGCTGCTCCATAGACAATTTACTTGTATTCTTGCTCATACTAACAGCATAATAGTGGGAAATTAAGTCTGAAACATGCGAACGGAGACTTTCAGTATCCCCTGTATGTAAAATAAATATATAAAGAAAAGTTTTACCGATATTTCTAAGATTTTAATTTGTTTAAACATTAATTATTTTTCACACTTATTAGGAAAAGATAATTCACTTTGGAAAGTTCTTAAGTACATAAAATTCCAGGAAAATTTTACAATTACTTAAATAATGCAGAATATACATAATCATGCCCTATCAACTACAGCAATATTTTCATTTCAGAAGAGAACGTCAGATTAAAACTAAAAACGATATGCTAGAAGAAAAAACAAAAAGTTTAAATCTTTAAAAATACCAAGAATGAATTCTGAAAATGAGGAAATTTAAATTCTAATACATTTAAATCTTTCAGTTCACAACACAGATTTGTTATAATTAGACAAAATGATGAGACTTTATTATCCAAACGGTAAAACTGCATTTTTTTTAAATGCAATTTAATACTTTTAATTTAACTTCATACCCGATTCATGTAAATATATATGTCTCAATAAATTTTGCTTTGTAGTAAAGCCATGTGAACAATAAATACACTTAAAAGGCTTTTCGCCTGAGTGTCTAAGTTGATGGGTTCTGAAGTTTGTAGCAATATTTGTTGAATATCCACATAAATTGCATTTAAATTTATGATGTTCCTCTCTTGAAGACACTGTTATTCCAGAGCAAGTGAAGGATATAGCTGATGATATATTTTTTAAGTTAAAAATCCGGTTTATTCCATCTATTAGAAAGAAAAAAATATGCTATGAGTAAAGCAAATCATATAATACTAAACATATGTACTAAAGAAATATTATTTAGTTGAAAGTACCAAATAATAAACAACACCTATGAAACATACTACAAGAATTAAAATACTAAAGCATGATATAATTATTTTCATTTTTTATAAATTCTAACTGGTTCAACTTTATAGACATTAATCACAGATTAAATTTTTACGTTATAAAAGTACATCTACAGAGTTAATAGATTAATAACTTCAATTACCTTTATCAAGTAATATATGTATATAGAATTTTAGGTGAATTTTTAGATTATGGTAACTTGGTGATTTTTTGGCGACCAACCCTGTTACAGCAACCGGCTGGTTTTTTTGACGCCATTTTGTTTTCACGAAGTAAAGGCATTTCCCTCCCCAACAATCTGCTAGCCGAATTATGCTTATGCTAGAACTTTTATGGAACAAAAGTGCTTAATCATGACGAAGATTAGGTGCGAAATTGGGAGGAAGTGTAGAATCGCCCACTGCTTGCCGTGTTTTTTAATAATTGTATATGCACGGTATCCATGTACACATCGATTTATTTTCACTTAAAAAAACATCCCAGAATTACAAAAAAATGGCATTGCGCACACTCTTGACTTTATCCATGTACACATCGACCTATTTTTACTTAAAAAGGTCAAAGAAAATTGACAAAAATCCAATTCTTCTTACTCTTGTAGAAAGTGTCAAACAAATAAGTGGGCGATTCTGCACTTTAGCAGTGAAATTGTTTCTAAGTGCTTATTAGCTAAAATCCGGGATTGGAATTTTCCGGAAAGTGTCACATTACATGTCTCATGGTCTCTCATTTCTCCGAGACAAAATAATCTGTGATTCGAACTGTGTACTTCTCAGATTATTGCTTAAGTCCTAGCTAGTAACCTTTATCGCCTTACCAAACTACCTGTTACAGTAAGACCCCTTTTAACGCTGTTTCGGTTTAGGCAACCCGGGGATTCCACGAAATCGCTCGCAGCATACGGGGATTCCACGAAATATTATGCAGCGATAGGTTTTCAAATACATATCCGAAAGAGTGTACTTGTATTTCTTGTTTGGTGCGGTATTGCACAGACATATTTTGAAGGGGTAAATGTGGAAGATGTCGAAGAAATAATTCAAGAAGCAGCGGCTAGTCTTTCTAATGATGAGCTCAAGGAATTAACTGAACAAGAAGGAAACAAAAATGTTGACAGCAGTGATTCAGAAGAAGAGCAAAAAGAACTTTCGATGGTGTTTGTAAATAGGAGTTTGTCTACCATAACTGAAATAATGGATCAATTCATTGAAAATGATCCGAATTTTGGACAGGAGCTCAAAAGTAAGGCGTGGTGTTAGAGATGCTCTATCCATTTATGAAGAACTTTTAAGAGAACAACGCAAAAGAAAAGGCAAACAACATTAGATGCTTTTGTCACAAAAAGGCAGAACACTGAAAACGCGGAAGGCTAACTAAATATGACTGACTTAGAATTTTATTTATTTTTTTTTTTTTTAAGAATATTCGTTTTGTTATTTATATTTTGTTTTTATTTTTGCAAGAAATAATAATGTGGTATTAATTTGGGCTTCAAGAAATAAATGTTTGGTTTTATTTTTATTAAAAAAACATACTTTTTAAATTTAATACCTAACCAATTTCCTAGCCATCTTCCCCTAACCCCAATATTTACATGTAAAGATAGCCTCGTTTAGCGCTGTTTTGCATTATGCTCTACTTGATGGAACGTATCCCCCGCGTTAAGCGGGGTCTTACTGTACCATATACTAAAGATTAGCCGAATTTTAATTTATGAAATAATTTAATCTGAAAAATGGCAATTAATATAACAAATGCTATTTCAATTTGAAATAAAAGATCATTAAAATGTAAAATAAATAGCTGCATATCACAGTTAAAACATATTTATTTAAACACATATAAATATTAAAAAGCTTTTGCATAAATAAAAAAGGTTGTGCAAAACAAATTGTGTGCAACTTAAAATTTATAAAAAATCATCAGATGTGAAGAAAATAAGATAAAATCCTTATTCACAATGCAAATGAGAAATTATGATTAAAGGTGTAATATTTTTACCAGCAAATATGATGCAAGTAATTGCATTGAAACAAATAGAAACAGACCAACAAGGAGTAATGAAAATTATTAGATTAATATTCTTTTTATTTGTATAAGATCTGCGCATATTATTTAAATCGGTTGATCTTTACAATATGGTAACTGGTAGTTTGGCGACATTTTGGAGGCGATAAAGGTTACTACCTGGGACTTTGGTAATAATGTGAGAAGTACTCAGTTCCGATTATGCATTATTTTGCGTGAGGGAAATGAGATAGATCATGGATATGTCATGTGATATTAATGGACGAATTACGGTTCTTTAATCGGAAAGGGGGGGGAAATCGGGAAAAAATCTGGAAAATTTTGTATTTAGCTTTATTTTGTGTTGTGTGAAACAGCGTTTGTTAATTTTTGGATCCCATCGCCCTAACTAAAGTGAATTCGAAATGGGTATTTAGGCATTGTGATAAAGAGAAGTTTGCTTTTTTATTTAGCGGAGGAAGTATGGAGGAAAAATTCGCAGAAAAAATCTTTCAATAATTTTATTGAATGAATTAGAAAAAAGTGTATCCGCCACGTAATCAAGATTCTGAAGAAGATTAGGTAAGTTAGTATTTTTAATTATTTGAGGATATTATTTTTATGCATTGTTCTAAATGTAAGGTGGAAAGGAATTTGGTATTATTGGGAAAATTGTTTATTAGCAATGATTTAGTTTAAAGTAATTAGGATTGTAAGCTAATTTTTATTAATTTAATGTATGTGCTCATTTATATTTTATGCAGTGTTTTTGAATTTAATTATATTTTAATGAAATGATAGTTATTTTGTGAATTTTATGTTTGTAGGAATTTGGTATACGTTTAAGTTGAAGTAAACGTGCATGGAAATAATTTAAATATTTGATACTAAGTATTTGTAATGCTTGCGGTATGAATTCGTTGGTGACGTGTATAATGTAACAGATGATTTAGAGGTAAACGTTTTTGGATATTTTATTTATTTTATATGTGAAATGTTCATATTGTAAAGGGTAAATACTTTTTTCGCGATCAGGTAATTTCATATATGTTCTTTTTACGTGTTTAAAGATGAGAAAATTGTCATGTATTTCGTGAAATTTTTCTAATTTATGAGAAAACAGCAGTGTACATGGATATAGTGAAGAGTGTGCGCAATGCTATTTTTGTGCAATTCTGGGATTTTTTTTTAAGTAAAAATAAGTCGACGTGTACATGGTTTAGTGATATTTTAATTAAATGATAGTTACTTTGTGAATTTTATGTTTGTAGGAATTTGGTATACGTTTTAGTTGAAGTAAACGTGCATGGAAATAATTTAAATATTTGTACTAAGTATTTGTAATGCTTGTGGAATGAATTCGTTGGTGACGTGTATAATGTAATAGATGATTTAGAGGTAAAAGTTTTTGGATATTTATTTTATATGTGGAAATGTTCATATTTGTAAAGGGTAAATACTTTTTCGCGATCAGGTAATTTCATATATGTTCTTTTTACCGGGTTTAAAGATTGAGAAAATTGTCATGTATTTTCGTGAAATTTTTCTAATTTATGAGAAAAAAAGCAGTGTACATGGATATAGTGAAGAGTGTGCGCAATGCCATTTTTTGTGCATTTCTGGGATGTTTTTTTAGGTAAAAATAAGTCGGCGTGTACATGGTTTATGTGTATGTGTTATTTGAAAAAAACGCGTAAGGAGTATGGTATTGTGCACTTTTTCCCAATTTTGCAGTGAATATTTGTCATGATTAAACAGTTTTGTTTGATAAAATTTCTAGCATAAGTGTAATTCGGCTAGTAGATTGTTGGAAGAAGTGTTCAGTAGATAAAAAGAAAAGAAACATGTCTTTACTTCGTGAAGACAAAATGGCGGCGGGGAAAAAAATAGAGGGTTGCTGTAGGAAAGTTATTTGCCAAATTTTCGCCAAAAAATCGCCAAGTTACCATAATGTAAAGATCAACCTTTAAATCATTTATCTACCAATATTCTAAATTATTTTTTTAACAACCATTTATATTATAAACTAAGGGATATTTGTTACAGGAATAAATTCTGTCGATAATCTAAATTTATAAATCTACACTCGTTTTAATTAAACATGATCAAATTTGAGTCACTACAAAGTCTTTTATTATTTTTAATTATGATAAAATGATATAATAAAATTCCAAATTTAAGTCACTACAGTCTTTTATTAATTTCAATTCTCAACAAATGCTATATTAAACTTCCAAAACTTAATCAGAATAATCACCGGGTTTAAGACTGATACTTTTAAATATTTCGTTCATACATTAGTCAACTTTTAAAGAAACAAAAAAAATCTAGATTTCTACTTCAAATAACGGCACTATTATGTACAACAAAACATACATTAATTAAAGTTTGACAATTTTAAAATACACACACTGAAAAGTAAATATATATTTGATTATAAAAAGATAATAAATATGCAAATACATAATCAAAGTCTCACAATTCATTTAAAATTTCTATTAAAAAAAAAAACAATATAACTATAATACATATAAACAATGTTGACTTCCCAAACGTTTCGAGAACAGTGTTGCCAAACTTGAAAAAAGTAAATTGTATCCAAGCATATTTTTTATATAAAGCAAAGTAATGCTCCTTCCTAGACATTTCCGTTCTTCTCTGTCTTGATAAAAAGCACAGAAGAAAGGTAAAAAGAACAATTATTTTATGACATAAAGAGGGAACCCCAGAAAAGTATGTCTTGAGAAAAAAAATGGGGTGTCAAATTATTCTACTACAGCAAGTATAATAGTCAGAGCCAACTTATACAGACACATATAAACTGTTAAATTTATAATAGATAATTGGCAGCACTGAGAAGAAAGCGTGCTTTGATGTATTTGTTTGTGTAGCTAGATTCCACGTTTAGTTTTAATTGTGCAGGACGTTAGTTACTTTTTATTTAGAAAAGAAATAACTTTTCTTGCGTTATTAAAAGAAAATGGGTAGACCAATGCGTAAAAAGGTGATTAGAAATTTTCTCTTATGTATTTTAGTTGCCTGAAATTTTGAAGTATTTGAAATTATGTAAACATGTATAAGCGTTCATTCCTAACCTTTAAGCACACTCACCGGGTTAGCTTGTCATTAGTTTGCTACCATTTTGAAACATTTGATGCATACAGTTGGCTATATTTTTCCTGCAGATTGGCTATAAATTTCTTGTTTAAATAACAATACAACGAATATTTTTTATCATGTTTGTGTTGGCAATTTTTGAGTAAAAAAAAAGTCTTAAACATTCACACCGAGCATTCACATTCAGGAGGCAGATTTATTTAATTTTCTTGGTTATGCTAAAAATAATTTTTATCTTTTTTTGGGAGGATTAAGCGAATCTAGTATATAAATTGTTGACTTCCTTAAGGCTGAAACTGAAGAGAAAGAATATATTTAGCCATGTCTGGTTTTCGTTTGTGTTCAAGTGTAAATTGCCAATTTTTTAAGAAAATAGAAGGGTATTTGACAGCAGGAAGCGTACCTACAGCTGCCAATCTGCTCTCATATCTTCAGAGGATGTGAAGAAGCATGTCTTTTTTGTTCAGGGAAACATGTGGGCTCAGACTGTTTTTCTGCTGGAGAAGCAGAATACTTTAAGAGATAAACAGTGCTACTTCGCTTGCCTGACAGCTGGACATCCAGTTCGTAAATGCAAAGTGTTTTTGAAATATGTAGTTATATGGTAAAAAACGTGTGTTGCTTATTTGTAATACTCTAGATGCTGAAACAGGAAATTGGACAAGAGTGATGAAAAGTGTGCAAGTTCTGAAATTAGCATGTCTAACATCACTTATGGCCCAAAGGTATTCCTTCAGACTATGAAAATAAAGTTAGTGTCAGGTAATAACGAAGTACTTATTAGAGCAGTCCTAAATTGAGGGTCCCCAAAATCATATATATTGAAAAATCCAGCAGAAGAAATGGGATATAGCCCAGTGAGAAAATTGTGAAAAATGTTAACACAACATGTTATAGAATCAGATTAAAAAAATCCACAAAATAACTTGTAACATGGAAGCTTTGGATCAGCCAAATGTATGCGATAATATTAAACCTGTTCCATGGATCAAAGGCCTTCAAAAAATGAAGATAGCATTGTCAGATGTGGATAATAAATCACAACCTGTTTAAGTATTCCTTGGAAATGACGCCGTAGGAAAACATGACAAGTCAGCGTAAAATATTGACTTGTAGCAACAGAACCTTTACTTGGTTGGACTTTATCAAGAAAATTACATGATAAGCTAATGCTATGCTTGTAACTTGCCCTTTAGTAAAAGAAATAGTTATTTCTGAAATAATGTGGAAATTAGATTCTTTAGGGATACAAGATACTTTAGAACTAAAGAAGCAAGCCTATAAAATAGAAGAGCTTGTAAAGGCTGGTTTCTGCCATTTAACTGTAAATCACACATTTCATTTTGTTGATGAACAATGAGTGCTCATAAAAAAATGCTGAAAGAATGTGGTGCTTTGTTAAAGGGTGAAACAAAAGCAAAAAGTATCACACCACATCATCTTAAGTCATCTCTAGTATCTTTTGGAATTCATGTGGCGGAAATCCTCTGGGAAAGATTAGCCTATTGATGGCATATTAAAAGCAATCTCAGAGGTAAGGCAGCCAGAACCTATATGGTAGTGGTTTAATCTTGGCACTGTTTTGATAATGGAGGCCTTCAAAATCAAGTAGCATCATATATTCTTTTTTTAACTACCAGTTATGGAACCACGCTTGTTCTGGATAAGAAATTTTCCTAGATAAGTGAATTTATATTTTTACAGCTTATTTGTTTAAAAAAATCATGCAGATTATTTAAAACACACCCACTTGATTTTATATTTCAGGAAAACAAAATTAAATAATATTTTCAAACTACCATATTTATTATTATATGCAAGTTATGAATTTTTTTATAGTATGATTTCATATGTTTGCTTGCTTACAAGATTGTTACCATAGTTTTACAAATTTCTTGTTTATTCAATGTAGCTTCATAACATTATGTAATGACGTAGATGAACATTTCTCAGCAAATTTCTCTCTTCTGTCCATGTAACTTTCTTTCTCCATCATGTTTATCTGCCCTCTCCATCTCATTTTCCTGCTTTAGGAGTACATATCAGATTATATCATTGTCATTTTAAGAAAGTGCTGAGAACTGAATAGCCTGCATCCATTCAAGCCTGCACCTCCTCTTCACTAACACTAATTTTTCCAAACATGTAAGTAAATTCAAAATGTCAGATATGTCCTAAAGCCAAAAAATCTTTGTCACTCGACTCATCATCTGTGAAGATAATCATAGGCTGCAATTTACATTCACATTAACATAAAGTAATTTTCTTTATATCTTTACAGTCAAGAACAAAAGCAAATATATGGCATCTGTCAAATGAGCCATTTCGCAAAGTGTATAGTACCTTTAAAGTTCACACACCAATGCATAAAAAAAAAAAAGAATTGATAGTTTTTCTTTATATGTTGGATAAAGACTTTTTACATTGGTTGGCAGAAACATAACACAATTATTTTCCACATTTAAGAATTCAGATTATTAATCCATTACATATTTTTTTCCTCAGACATAAATTTCAGTTTTAAATTTAGCTTTTCATAAGTGCCACTATATTGCCAGTTACGAGTGATTTTACTGTATTATTAGAAGATTTTTCAGTGTTACAGGTAAGTAATTTATACTACCTGATTTTGCACCAACACATAACAGTCCTTTTGTTATCTATGCATTTTGTGCTGAAAATGCAGGGCTAATCTTTGGAATATGGTAACAGGTAGTTTGGCAACATTTTTGTAAGGCGATAAAGCTAGGACTTTAGCAGTGTACATTGATAAAGTCAAGAGTGTGCGCAATGCCATTTCTGTGCAATTCTGGGATGTTTTTTTAAGTGAAAATAGGTCGACGTGTACATAGTTAGTTACCGTGTATGTGCAATTCTTCAAAAAGGCGGCAAGCCGTTTGCGATTCGCACTTTCTCCCAATTTCGCACCTAATCTTCGTCATGATTAAGCACTTTTGTTTGATCTTTGGATTATGGTAACTTGGCGATTTTTTGGCAACCAACTCTGCTACAGCAACCCCTATTTTTTTTTTTCGCCACCATTTTGTCTTCACGAAGTAAAGACATGTTTCTTTTCTTTTTATTTACTCAACACTTTTTCCAACAATCTGCTAGCCGAATTACACTTATGCTAGAAATTTTATGGAACAAAACTGCTTAATCATGACAAATATTAACTGCAAAATTGGGAAAAAGTGCAGAATCGCAAACTCCTTGCCGCGTTTTTCAAAATCGCACATGCACAGTAATCATTTACTCCTTATATTTAGAACAATGCATAAAAATAACATCCTCAAATAATTAAAAATACTAACTTACCTAATCTTCTACAGAATCTTGAGTGCATGGTGGATCACAAAATGTACATTTTCACCAGGTTTCTTGCACCGCCATTCAAACTATCTGTAATATCCTTCCTTTCACACAATCTTATTTCATTCCCACGTATTAGACATTCATACTTATCCGCAATTAAGCAATTCTTTTCAATTACACATAAACGCAATAAAAATTTCGGATTTACTTTATATACGGCCATGGGATCCAAATATTAAACAACACTGTTTCACAGAACATAGAATGAAACTACTGCTATAAAGTACAGCAGATATTTTTACAAATAAACCCCCTTTTCCGATTAAAGAACAGTGATTCGTCCATTAATGTCACATGACATATCTCATGATCTCTCATTTCCCTCACACAAAATTATGCGTAATCGGAACTGAGTACTTCTCACATTATTCCCAAAGTCCTAGGGAATAACCTTTATTCCCTCCAAAATGTTGCGAAACTACCGGTTACCATATTCCAAAGATCAGCGGCACTTTTGTTCCATAAAAATTCTAGCATAAGCGTAATTTGGCTAGCAGATTGTTGAAAAAAAAAGGTTAAGTGAAAAAAAAGCCTTTACTTCGTGAAAACAAAATGGCGTCCAAACAAAAACTAGCAGGTTGCTGTTGCAGGGTTGGTCGCCAAATTTTCGCAAAAATCGCCAAGTTACCATAATCCAAAGATTAACCAAATGCAGCAATAGATCTGTGAGTTGCATATGTCCAGGATACGGCATCATGTCACATTTTCTAATTTCTGTAGTTAAAATTACCATTTCACAGTCAGCATTTTGAGTTTTATTAATGCATTGAGAGGAATTTTGATGTTGAGTTGTAAAAACAACTTTAAAGCATGTTTGAAGGATTGAAAAAGATGTTGATATAAGTGCATGGCTGTCGGGGGGGGGAGATGCAATGAATATTAACCAATAAATTGCAAACACATGTTTTATAGAATTTTTAATCACACTAATCCAGTATCAGTATGACACAATTCAAGTATTGTTTGTGAATACAGTACACTCCTGATTATCCGTGGAATTGGGTGGCGCGGCCGCGTTGGAAAAATCGTTTTATGTACAATAAAATGTAAAATAAACA